GAGCGATAATTTGCAGACTCGGCGAAGGCGGTTTCAGATTTTATTGAGATTTTTGGACATCGCTTCTGGATTTCGTTTTGTTTTATTTCATTCCGCATCTGATTGTAGCGACTTATCTCTAGATACGAAAGTTTATTGTGTCTAGAATGTGTTTTCTTTCTTTTGAGTTATCTCCAGTTGGGCTTTCAATCGAGGACAAGAACTATTGTGAAGAGTAGCGAAGGGAGAATGCGGGCGTGCTGCATGTGTGGAGTTATATAGAAGTTAGGATCTTCACCTTGCACACAAATGACAGACTGGAATCTGTGGTGTTTTGATTAGGAGATTGGCCTTTTTGCGGAGATGTATACTGCCGTAAGCTCACAAAACGCCATTTTTATTTTAGGGCCAATTGTTTTGTGGGTTTTTGTCGCTAAACCAAAGTCTGACTAGTTACTATTCTAGTGTGAAAAAAAATCAAATTGAAACTGTAACTAGTTTTTGAATATATTAGCGTTCAAATTTCAGAATGATACTATTTTTCATATTTTTCAATGGTTACGCTGACAACCCCCCCCCCCCCCCCACCCCTTCCCCCTTTTCTCGAAACTGTTGTGAATTTTTTTTAAGGCGTTTTGTCAGCTTACGGCAGTATACTTCTCATACACCAGGCTGGAACTGACAAGCAGAGGGTCGAAGCCCATCTCCTGAAGTATTTGTGAGGCAGCGTGGTGGAATCAGACTCTCGTCAATTTTTGGGCATGTAGAGTTATTGGTATCACCTTTAAGCTTTTTCCCCAGTATTTATTTGGATTTTAAAAATATCCATTTATCTTGAATACAAGTCGAGATATTTGCGAAAGAAAGAGGTGTGGGTCACCTGTTTTCAGAGGTAAAATTAGTAAGAAAATGCCCGCCAAAGAATAGTTATTTCCTTAGCTTTTGAGTTCGTGGTAACTGAAAATTTACATTTTTTTGTGTGCCTTTAATCAACGTTTTTCAGAAAAATCTACACAGAAATGAGTTCTTTAATGGGCATGAAAGGTGTTGAGCCAAAAAACAAAAATTTGATGAAATTCACAAACCTTAAAAAAATGCAAGTTTCTTAAACTTTGATTATTTTGACGAGAGCCTGATTCCACCACGCTGCCTCACATTTTAATTGTGTCGATGGGGGCGTAGATCTAAAACACGTACAAACAAACAAACAAACAAACAAACAAACAAACAAACAAACAAACAAACAAACAAACAAACAAACAAACAAACAAACAAACAAACAAACAAACAAAGAATCAAAAAGCAAATAAACATGCAAACAAACAAACAAACAAAATAACGAACAAACAAACAAACAAACAAACAAACAAACAAACAAGCTCGCACACATTATGACGTGAGTTTGGTTCCATCGAGGAGGAAGTAATGTATCGTGTATAGTCTTTCTGCCGGGATAGCATCATAATAGGCTCCTCAGCCAGAGTTGGTCCTGACAGTCAGGGTCATTTGTGAGGTAGCGTGGTGGAATCAGGCTCTCGTCAAAATAATCAAAGTGAAGAATCTTGCATTTTCCCGCAGGTTTGTGAATTTTTATCAAATATTTGTTTTTTTGGCTGAACACCTTTCATGTTCATTAAAGAACTCATTTCTGTGGGGATTTTTCTGAAAGGCGTTGATTAAAGGCACAAAAATGTAAATTTTCAGTTACCACGGACTCTTCAGCCAAGGAAATAACGAATCTTTGGCAGTCATTTTCTCACTCATTTTACCTCTGAAAACAGGTGACCCCCACCTCCTTCTTTCGCAAATATCTCGACTGGTATTCAAGATAAATGGATATTTTTTTCTTCCCAATAAAGACAAGTGAATATGCTTTAAGATGATACAAATAACTCTACGTGCTCAAAAATTGACGAAAGCCTGATTCCACCACGCTGCCTCACATTTAGTTTTTAGACATAGTAAGAGTTTTACGGCATTTGCTCCTCAAATAGGTCATAATGGTGAAAAATAGAGTTCTTACAAAAAAAGTAACACACAAAGGAAAGGAAGAGGAGAGTTAAGTGCGACAAATAATAATTATTATTGTTTGAAAGGAAAGAAGGAGTAAGCCATACCAGAGCATCTACCAAACACCCACCACGCAGAGTCCTAAACAGTGTGTGAGTTTAGACAAAGATAGTACATAACAAGATGGTCCACTCAGCCAAAAAAGTGTCCGCCGGAAGTCCGCTCTTTGCTTCAGATGGCGCTGGAGTCTGTTTTGAAGCTCTCTTTCGTTTCTCCAGAAGAAGAATAGGAATAGCATCTCCTTGCGTGCGCAGATCGACTGCTGTTCATCAGCAGTTCGAGATCGTTCAGTGCGGAGTTTTAGTTTTTTTTTTAATTTTAATAACTTCTTGACTTTCATTCTAAAGTCAAATTAAACGAAGAAAACAGTCGCCCCTTCCTCCGGAAGAGGTCTATTGTCAGCGTAACCATTTTAAAAAAGCGTTCTTCCGAAATTTGAATTCTTATTTATTCAAAAACGTGTTACTTTCACTTTGATTTTTTAAACACAAATAGGGTAACTCTGTTCGCAAAGGATGCGCATTTGCGAAGAGGGCGCCACCGAATCTTGAGGACACTTTTCTAATTGGCTCAAAAAGAGGAGTGGACACTCTTGTTATGTAGACTCTTTGGTTAAGAACATCAAGGATGGGGGCTGCTTCGAACCTTCCCGTCAAGACCTATGCCCAGACTGTATTGAATTCCATCAATGGGACTGACATAACACACACAATAGAGTTTCTCATATTTCAAAGCCAAACCCATGTATTTTGTGAATAAAAAGCACCCCCCCCCCCCCCCCCCCCGCCCCACTGTGTATGGTCAGCAGGGTACGTTGGCGTGGTGTACTCCTTCTTTCCTATCAAACGCCGATCGTTTTTATATCTTCTCCTTCTTTCCTTTGTATGTTGTTACTCTCTTATAATACCTATAACATTTTGACACCAATATGACATAATTGTGTTGCAAGTGCCGTAATACTTTAACTAAAATCAAACCAGTGCCTCCCCATTAGCTTACCACACAGATACACCAGTGCTCTGTGAAGTTCTAAGAAATAACACAAGATTTTGAAAATCTCGCTTTATTATATGGACAAGACATCTTTCCCGCCTAAAGCCGGATACCCATTCCCACTTTGAGGAAATGAGGAAAATCCATACAACATACCTCTACCAAGGACACAATTTCGGCCACATGGCAGGGTTCAAACCTATGACCATACAGCCACAAAGCACAAACCGCACTTCTGTTCTTGCTAAGTAGGCTACTTCAACCAGTCTTGAATCAGAAAGTATTTTCCGAATTTTGAAAATATGCCCATGTAACCTTTTGTGACAATTCTTAACTAAATCATATTTTTGTAGATTTTTTGGGTCACCTGTGTAAAAAATGTACACTGACCTCACAAACGGGCTAAGCTACATCATAATAAGATATTATTGCAAAAAGTCACGTGTAAGGGGGGAGGGGCTACACCTGGAGGCTATCTCGCTTATTACTGTACCGAATTTTACTAAATTTGACACATAGAACAAGCATAGTAAGGATTCTTAAAATCTGCAATCAAATTTTAGAAAAAAGTTTCGTTTCCATGGATACGCCGCCATATTGGATTTTATTGACATGTCTTACGTAATGAATACCGCACTTATCGCTCATGTAAATTGATTGTTTTTTTGCATGCATGTTCACAAACATTAGATCTAAAAATTTATCTGTTCTTTCTTTCCTAATCGAATTAGAAAATTTTTAATGAATTTTTTCCTGAGGTAGCATTCAAGTTTGCGAAAAATCCATGAAAATCCACACTCCAGACACCACCAACAAAAATCTATTCCATATATCAAAAATTCACAGACAAATTTTTAGTATTATCTCTTCTCTTCATTCTGTGAAAATTTCATGAAGATTGGATGAAAAATGGTGGAATTATTCAAAAAAGTATAGAGAAAAGTCGCATTTTGAGAAAACGGCCGATAAAGAAAAATAAAATACTGACTTTATGAGGAAATGGCGGTTACAAACATGCCCGGTATGGGAAAAATTACGGTTTTTGGGGTTCTTATGCCATGAAATAGTTGTAGGAGATGCTGGGGAAGCTAAAGATGCCTACAACTCAAATTCCATGATTTTGAGCCGAATTTTGATTTTGGGGGTGTAACCCCCCCCCCCCCCCTTAATTTTAAAACACCTTGCAAACAGATTTTGACCGATACGTAAGTACTATTTCACGACGTACGTTTTATCTTTATCTAATCTAATTTTTTTTTAAACAATACCTTCACCGCTACGCTGTACACAGGTAAAGCCTTCAGTGTCTGGGGGGGGTTTTTTCCTTTCATTTTCAAAAATGTATTCGTTTACCCGGCAGTTAGTTAGTCAGGTGAACAACACAAGCGTGGTCGTAGTAGTAAGTAGAAGTCTTTACGTTAATTTAGCTTTGGAAGTTTGGGCGTCATTTTATCAAGATTAATTTTTTAAATAATTTATGAATCATTTTATTTAGCTGTGAGAGTATGCGTATATGTATGAGTGTGTATGTATGTGTGTGGGTGTGTGTGTGTACGCCCGCACGCCCGCGTGTGTGTGTGTGTGTGTGTGTGTGTAAGCGCGCACGCACACTGTGTAAATATGTGTGCGTGTATGTGTATGTGTGTGAGTGTGTGTGTGTGTGTGTGTGTGTGTGTGTGTGTGTGTGTGTGTGTCTGTGTGTGAGTGAGTGAGTGTGCGTGTGTGTGTGGGGGGGGGGGAGAATCTTCTTTCGATTTGGTTTTCTTTAGATTAAAAAAACCCCACATTATCGGATCATTTTCCTGAAGAATTTTCGAGCATGCATGCCTGTGGAAGGGAGACAAGGGAGGTTTCCTATCAACAAGATTTGTAGCAGAAACAGAGAAGCCCACTGTACAGTGCACAATGCGGTTAAATCCCACACCTGTTTTGAGGTAGGAAAATCTGCAAACACTCACCTTTCAGATATTTTTCCTCACTCCTCTCTTCCCCTCTCTCCTCACTCTCCTCCTCCTCATCCTTCGTCTCAATCCCCTCTTGTGCATTCTCCTGATAGCATTTCCCTCTTGCCTCCAGTGAAAGAGAGAATCCTCCCTGAGGGAAAAAAACCAAAAAACCAAAACAAAATTATTTTTTTTAATGAAACAAGTTGAAATTGAAATAAATGTTGAAAAGTTAAAATATGTTGTTTTTTTTAAAAGACGAAAATTAAAAGAAGGAGAATGAGACAAGTTTCACATTGAGGGAGCAGGAGACATAACAATTAAACAGATTCTGCCCGTTATCTCCCGGGTTAACGAGCGCCCCCTGCAGGCGTCAGTGGCTGCTTGGGGGCCACGCAGAAGTCGACGTCTGCCTTTCGCGCCAATCGCCATGTTTGTGTCTGCTGATGAGTGAGACAAGGGCAGGACAAGAACTGCAACTGTTTCAGTGTGGTCGTCCCCCCCCCCCCCCCCCACTATTTTCTTCTGTTTTTCTTCACGTGAAAGAAAAGTGTAGTTTGCTTATGAATTGATACCTTCTTCTCGCCAATAAAAACACACACAAAGAAACAAAACAAAAATTGCACAAAAAGCTGTCTCCACCCTCTGCCTTTCGTTGAAAAATCATTTGGATGTTGAAATCTGTATCTCATTGCTTGAAACACGTCGAAGATAAGAAACTAACGCAAAAAGACGCAAATTTTAGCTGGGGGGGGGGGTAAATTCATTTTTACTATAACAGATTGAGTATTCGGAATGGCGACTGCTCCTTTATGGTGCACACTAGCTTGACTGGCCAGTTGGTACACAGAACAGTAAACATATCTACTTCCGTTTGGAATTAATTCAATGAAAATCAACGAGAACCACGAAAATATACGTCAAACGTCATAAGAATTATATGACATACTGGTACCGAGTGCCGATTTTATGGCTGTGGATCCACCCTTCTCTATCCATAAGCGCATGGTATCTTTTCAACAACCTATATTCTATGAAGTTTTTAAAAAAATGAAATCACAAGGAGTAAAATTATGTATATTGTGGAGATGGTTGCGTGGCATCTTTTTTATATAAAATTCCAAGGTATTAATAACAAATGATGCAGTGTTGGGGTAGTAACCTCTTTGAAACAAATTTGTACGATTCAATCAAGACAAAAAACGGCAACTCAGAGTAGTGTTAGTGCAAAACTAGAAAGCATCTACTACAAGTCTGCCCGATTCTCAAGGAATTTGAGGAAATATTGACCAAAGGAGACCCAAAACTATACAGGAGTGCTAGAGACTGGGCTGTCAATTAAAAACGAACAAGAAGGAGTTCAAGACAAAAAAACAAACCCATCAACAACAACAAAAAAAAAACCACAAAAAAAATACAACCAAACTTGAAATCTCGCAAACGGCGAAATGAATCTGAATGACACGGATTTCTCCTTCTGGCACTTCTCGGCCGCGTTTCTTCACACGTAAGCAACTTTTTACTCGTTCGTTTTAAAACACATTAAGGTTCGTTATCTTCGAAGCTAGCTTTTGTCTGTGGTGAGCCGTCTTTGCCCAACCCTAAGCGCATCCATCTCCCCCACCCATCCTCACCCGGTCCACCTCAACCCCCACCCACCCTCACCCCTCAACACATCC